TGCCAGCTTTTCTATTTTGAGCTCTACTTGATTTTCAAATTCAAATACAAAGATCTGTTCTAGGATGAAACTTGGTACACAAAATCTAAGTCCAAAAGCTAATTAGTTTTGGAGAAAAAAATTCTCACCTGAATGTCATGAAAAACAGAACTTTGAATTTAAGACTGTTCCCTTGAGACTTTATTTTTAAAAATAGTTTCTACAATCAATACTGAATTTAGTCTGTTTTCAAAAGTAAAAAATAATTCCCTTCCTTTACATGTGCGCGTGCACACACACACACACACACACAAAGTCACAGCAACTTTATCAAAAGGATATTCAAACGTGAATTCAATTAGCCTCAGTGCTGGTATTCAAATTTTTGCAAAACCATTATAAACTGTATGTTCCTAATTGAAAATTTCAAATTGAGCTGTTCACCAGGCTACATCCCTTAAGTTATACAAGTAACAGAATACACTGAAGATCTTGGTCAGATTACATTCCAACTCCACAGGTGTTGGTCGCATATGTTCTTTAGGGTTCTACATCCCAGCTGTTAAATGTATAAAACTGATCCAGAATAAATATTTTTACAATCATCAGCTAAAAAAGGAGTGTCATCCTTAACTTTGAATTTCATGTTTGTTTTTCTAATTTAACATGATCCTAAATATGATTTTAATACTAACTGAATACAAAACCTGTGTATCACAGGATGCTATTTTATTGCCTACTTGATCTCTGATTACATAGCCCCAATTTATAGGGCTCTATAAACCAGAGAAAAAAATCTTGAAAGCAATTTTCCTAAAACTGCCATGTAAGTCAGAAGTCCAGGCTAACAGTTACATGTATCCACAGTATCTACATTAAAGGAATAGGTCTGCAGTTTGAATAATGAAAAAAATATTTAAAGAGTGCAGAATATACTAATAATTTAACAAACTGCAAGCACACAGTGACACACAGGCTAGGGTTTAGCAGATGATTAGTTGAGGGGGGAACAATGTGCACATACACTATGAAACACCCTATTTAGTCTATAATAATACTGCTGTAGCATGTATAACTTGCATATCTTGCTGATGTTCAAGTTACTGCTGCCCCAGAGCTACAGAGGCTTCTGAACCTTTTGTCTTTGGAAGTGCTTCAGTTTTTTTAATTGCATGTAGATAAATGTGTTACATTTTTAAAGTAACTCCTTAAGTCCACTAACTTTTTAAAATTATGAATTAAACTTAGAAGAAAGCTATAAAACTATTTTTAACTGCAAGTTAGAGAAAAAGAGGTATTGTAATTTTTTCTCAATATATTACACAAGAATTTCAAGATGTACTGAGTCACAAAACATTTGAAGTATGAAGCCATCAACTATCAATTGCTCATCTTCGTACTGTTGCCAACTGTGAGAGGCTCCTCAATACCACACCAGAAGCACAGGAAGAAGTAGTTGCATCAGCTAATTCTGCACAGAGAAATCCCAGGAGAAGACAAGTGAAACTTACAAGTATCTTATCAGTTTCACCATACTAGAGTTTACAGCTACCAGAAGAGGCAGGACACAGAAAAGAGAAAAACTAAGAGTGGTACATACGCAAGTAGATTATTGTTCCTTACCAAGAGCACAGAGAGAAAGAGCGAGGAAGAGAAGAGGAAAGACTGGGCGGGGGGGGGGGGGAAGTGCAGTGGTCTGGCACAGGTCTTAAAAATTATATGTCAGCTCACCAAGGTTGCTAGTAAGTGCAACCACAGAGCTACAGGCTCCTTCTCTAGAAAGAAGGGGGTGCAGGGGAGTAGCCAGAGCACTAGAAGTTCTTTCTGAGGAAGGAAGGATTAGAGCAGCTGGAACCACTGTAAAGGAACTCAAAGAACAGGGTGGCATTTAAACTGCTGATCCTTTAACAGGCTGGGAGAGGAGCAAGAAGCAGAGGACCCTGGTATTGAGAAACAGCTAAAAGTTTGAGCCCCCTGTAAACTCAGGAAAGCAGCAGGGCTTGGGACAGCAGCAGCAAAGAGGTATGGGGACAAGAATATGGATGGAGGCAAGGAGGACAGAGAAACAGAACAGATTTGGAAACAAGTGATTTGTTCAGGGGGAAATCTATTAGAGTGGGCATAACTGATTTTTGAGGGAGATGCACAATGGAAGATGTTTCAATATAGTTAAATGTGTATAACATGCATGGCTTGGGGGGGAGAAAGGGAAGGAGGTTGTGGCAAGGTGGCAAATGTTTATTCACCTGCTAATGAGAAGCTGGAAAATGCTCAGAGTACTGATCTGACAACTTGGGACAACAAAATATTTTGGTCTATATAAATAAAATCTAGACAAGTAATTTAAACCTTTTGGGGATGATAGCTGTCCTATGAAATATAAATATATATTTATAGAATGCAATCATGTGTATAACTCCTTGCCAATTTTTGGGCTTAAAGAGTTCATCATAATGCATATGAACAAGGGAGCCAAATAAAGGTTGCATAAGATTGTCTTTATCCTTCTCTGCTCCTACTCACCTCTATCCCCTGCCCTGACTCCTGCCCCTTTCCTCCTCCCTGAGCCACACCCAGGTCATATCTCCTCCAGTCTAGCCCCCACACCTCTTCTCACCCATCTGATCCTCTCTCTGCATTCTGATCAGGTTGCTTCCTCCTTCTCAGTGCCTAGGGCACCAGCAAAGAGAGCAATGAAAGCACAGGAGAGAGAGTCTCCCTGCCCTCAATTCTTTTTAGTGCCAGATCAGTGCAGCCCTAGCAGCCTGAAGAAGGAATTTCAGGGGAAGTCCAGCTCAGTTCTAGGATGGAGCATGCTCCCTTGGCTCTGTGGAAATGATGCATGCACAACCAGATCACCCACAGAATCTGTGTGGGAATGGAGTATGCGCCATGCAGATGGAATCTGCAGAGAAGTCATTTAACTGCCAGCCTCTACAACTCTACTACGTGTGTAGTAAACAGATTTTTCAGGAACCTACAACATAGTCAATGTTGAGCAGATTTTTTCAGGGAAAGCAAAAGGCACACACCCCTTGCCACTGCGGCAATACCCTGGCCAAATTTTAAGTCCTGCCCAAAGGCACGACTAGTCTAGCATATACTGATGAGATAAAATAAGACTATCTTAATAATACATTTGCAATTATTACTTATTTGAACAATGTTAAAGTAACAACTATGGGAAAGGGTGTATTGTTTTTCTTCCAGGTATTTGCAATTCACATTTCTACACTAGGCTCACCAGTTCAGGTAAAAGGAAAATCCTACATATGATTGTTAAATCTTCTATCACATCCACTCCGAGTGATGTTCGTACTTACACCAAGCAAAGCAGCAATAAAAATATTCACTGAGTAAGTACAGTTACAGTCAAATAAATAGTATGAATTTGTCCAATTATGTTGTAAATGTTCACTGTACGGTGATTGCTAGGAGTTAATACATGAAAAACTGCAGAGATCAGGAAGGGTGTTAACATTTAGATTGGAGTTGTCTATTCATAATAGAGACCTTGGAGCAAAACTCCGTTGTATAAAATATCAATATTATACAGCAATACATACTTAGTGGAGAAACTGTTTTATTTAAAAAAAAAAACACTTTGTATTTCTTCAGTGTATACTCCATATTCAGTTTCTATTTGGCAGATCCATCACATTGGTTGCAAAAGTATTCCTTGTCCTAGGCACACCTTGTAATGACAGTCTTAATACAACAGGCTGACAAATTTTGCCTAGACTATTTTTAATTTGTTCATTTTTAAACATTTTAAGCTTATAATCACAGAGTCCATTCTACACCATTTGCTTCTTCCGCAGTTTGCAGATACTTATAAAATTGTCCTTTGCTAAATTATATTTAGTATCAATATCAGTCTAAACACAAGTTTTTTTTTAAAGCACTTTGCAAACATTACCTAATTAACCTCACAGCAACCCTGTGAGGTAGATACACACATTTTACACATGGGCAAAATGAGTTAGAAAGATTAATTCGTTTGCCTGTGGATACAGGAGTCAGAACTGGCCACAACTAAGCTTAGAATTTAGGAGCTTCTGAATCTGATCCCCACTCCCATGTTCAACATAGACCACACCTCTTTCTTTTACATCCTCTCCCCCACACCCTCTCCCTCTACTTACTAGGTCTTTTATTGTGTATTCTTAAAGATTAAAAGAGTGAGGTAAAAGTGCAACTAAAAAGCACTTTAGTCTCAGCAACAATATTTAAGCAGATTTCACAGAGTGAACCACCTCACCATAACTGTTCACAAAACAGGACACCCCTGCCCCCGTTGCTTGGACAAGCTTAGTGTGTCAAGTCTGAAAAGCATCCATGACTCAAGAAGGCAGTGTCAAATGATAATTTTGCTTCTGGAAGCAATAGCATATTTAAAATCAAAATGAACCAAAACATTCATTTAACACTTCTGAGACTTAATGTGGCTGCAATATTTTCCAAAACACTTCCCACGTAGAAAAAATATTTTCAGTTCTAAGAACATACCATCTAGTTTACAAAAATCACCACACCAATCTAATTACAGAAACCTCCTCTATAAGAAATAAGCTTCAAGGGTTTAATCACCGTTCTAGACTTTATCCAACCTATTTTTGTTATAAGTTAAGTAGGGACCATGCTTAGGTCTATTTTTGGTTTATTTTTCCACCAGACCCTTAATTGTGCAATATTTGAAACGGCAGCTATCAAAAGATTAATTCAGTGAGTGAACCTGGATCTTCTTCCCACGCCTAAACAAGCACTCCACACACTTTAAGGGCTCTATTTGAGAATAGGATGTGAACGTGCAAAGAAACAAGAGAAAAACGCCGTTCCAAGGAAACAAGAGAACAGTACAGACCGCACCTTAAGCTATCCCTTTAGGACACAGTTCAGTGGTCTGAACAACCTCCAACACCTAGGTGCCTGATTTTTGCTGGCCTTTTGGGCTCAGTTCTAAGTGGGCGTTTCTACTCGTTTAAACGCCTTTCCCCCCTCCCCCCTTCCTGTGCACTCACCTTCTCTCTGGCTCTTGCCCAGCTATTAGACGTCCTCCCGCCTCTGGAAGCTGATGCTGGCATATGCACTCAAATCGTCGCTAGAGTGGCTACTCCCACAAGGCTGATTAGGGGCTCTGGGCGGCGGCGGCGGCTGCCTCCCCCCCAGCGCAGAGGTGCCCTCCTGGGGGTGGTGGGGGTGTTGGCGACGCTGATTAAAATCCTTCACTAAGTCCAGGTCGATGTAGTTGAGTCCGTTCTCAAAGCCACCCCCGGCCCCGAGGGGCTGCTGCTCCCTCCTGGCGGCCGCCCCCAGCTCCCCGGAGGCAGGCCGGAGCCAGACGTTCTCGAAGGAGGCCGAGCTGTGGCGTTTCACCTCCTCGGCGCCCCCCGCCCCGTAGAGCAAGGGCGCGTTGAGGCCGCCGCTGCCCGCCGTGCCGCGGGCGTTGCTGGGGGTGGAGGAGAAGGTCTCGGAGCTGTGCCGCCGGCGGCCCCCCTGCGGGTCGGCGCGGATCACTTTGGCGCTCTGATTGCGGCCGGGGCTGGGGCTGAGGCTGACGCGGGTGAAGGCGCTGTTCACCCCCGGGCCTCCCATCAGGGAGGAGGAGCGCGGTGGCGCCGCTGCCAGCTCGGCCGGCGGCTGCGCCTGGGCGGAGGCAGGGGCAGCAGGGGAGTTCTCCGGGACGGCACGGCCCGTCCGCATGTCGGCGTAGTTGAGCAAGAGCGCGGGGGACGGGGGGTCGGCGCAGCCCGGGCAGGGCCCCCCGACACCGCCCCCCTGTTCCATAGTCACATAGTCCCGGCTGCTGAGGGCAGCAGCTCCTCGGCCTGGCCGGGCCGCAGCTGCCGCCCGTACGGCTGCGAAGCCGGCTTGGCAGGCAGCCCGCGGCGGCCCCAGCTCCATGTTCATGTACTCGGAGCCTTCGTCCCCTCGGGGCCGCGCGGCCGACGGGAAAGCCGGCTTGTCACTGGCCACGAACTCAATGTTCACGTACTCGCCGGGGCTCTTGGGCTCCGGCGGCAGCAGCAGCGGGGGCTGCTCCCGCGCCCGCGGCAGAGTGCTGGCCTTGGGGCCGTCCAGGGACAAGCGGGTGGGTCTGGTCAGGCGGCTCCTACTCTGCGCGGCCGCCTGACGGGTAGGCTGCTGCGGCGGGGGCTGCGCCTGGTAGGGACCTCCGGCGCCCTCTTGGCCCCCGCCTCCCCCGAGGCTGTCGCTGCTGGTGGAAGAGGACGAGTCCTCCGCGGCGTAGAGCAAGCGGCCGGAGCTGAGGGAGATGCGCAGCTGGGGGCCGCTCTCCTCGGCTGCCCTGCGCTGCACGTGTTTGAAGGAGCGCGGCAGGGAGAAGTAGGAGTAGATGGGCTTGTGAGGGGGCTCGGCCGGGCCCTGCGCCGAGGCCTCCTCCGGGCCCGGCGGCTCCGAGGTGGCGAAGTAGCAGTCCGGGGGGGTGCTGGTGGCGGAGCCGCTGGCTGGGGACATGTTGATGTAGTCACTGCCGCTGCAGGGGAGCTTCCCTTCGCTGCTCTCTACCGAGAGCTTTGGGTGGTGGCCAGCCCCATTAGTCCACATTTTGCCGTAGCCGGCAGGACCACCGTCAGGTGAACAGCTGCCGCTAGGGGACATCATCATGTACCCATTGGAGTCCACCATGGCTTGGGCGTGGCGACCCCCCCTGCCAGGGTTGATGATCTGCTGTGGGGCTGACACGCTCTTGGGGCTCATGGGCATATAGTCACCACCTTTGGGTGTGCCACCACTGCTGGGCACAGGGGCCACCCCAGGCGACATTGGCATGTAGCCGTCATCAGTGTGTGGGGTGGAGTTGGTCCGGTGGTGGCTGCCCTCCAAATGGTGCATCTCCAAATGCTCCTCAGGATAGGAGTGAGTGGGCACAAAGGCAGAGTGCCGGTAGGAGGGCAGCCGGTTGCCACCACAAGGATAGGAAGGCAGCATTTCCGTGTACTCCTCAATAGAGGCCACTGAAGACTGTGAGGGTGTCTTCTGGTGGGAGATGGTGGGTGAGGTGCCTGCAGAGTGAGTCCGCTTCCTGAAGCCCTTCTCCAGGTCAGTTACCTCCTCTCCACCACTCCGGGGGCAGCATGGGGTGCCAGGATAGCGGCACTGCTGATGCTGTGGGTGGCAACTGCGAGGGATGAAGTGGCCATTGGGAGCTGCCAAGCTGCAGGACGAGGCAGCCTTGCCCCCCATACAAATGTAGTTGTTGAGCTCCTCATCCCCCCGTGCTGGCGGGGTGTGACCCAGAGAGTCTGGAGTCACACTGCGAAAAGAGCTGCGGAAATCGCAGGGGCTAGAGCCATATTCGTCGGAGGAGATGAAACCACCATCACTGGGGGAGCCTGATACCGAAGCACTGGACCTGCGTGGGAAGAGGCAGTCTGAGGTGGAGCCATGGCCACTGGTGCTGCTAGATGACAGGCTGACTGGACTGGTGGCTGAAGGGGAACAGCGTGAAGAAGGCATTGGGATGGAGCGACTGTGGTTGAGTGGAGGGTGAAGCCTGGAGTTGCCACGGTGCCGATGTGAGTGGGTCCGGTTGGCACTGGGACTTACTGGGCTGCCATCCACAGAGGCAGGCCTGGACATAGTTCCTTCCCCATCACTAGAGGCTCGGACTCGGAAAGAGCTGGGTTTGCCCCCTGTTCCTCCTCCACCACCACCACCCCCAGCAGGGGAGGTAGCAGTCACACTCTCAGTCCTGGACCTGCGACTGAGCCCCACCTGGCTGGGTGGGGGGTTGTTGACATGGTGTCTGCTGCGGAGGGGCACAGAGATGGGATTGGAGCAGTTGGAAGAGGACTGGCTCTTGCTGCGGGGCCGGAATTCCTCACTCATGGCTCGCATGGCTTCCAAGATGGTCTCATGCATGTTCTGTGCCACCACTGAATCATCCACCTGCATCCAGAACTCACCAGGCCCAGTCACCGCTGAACGCCCAACCTCTATGAAAAAGAAGTTCTCTGAGTGGCCACAGCGGCGGATGTTGAGCAGCTGCAGTACCACAGCAGCTGCATCTGAGTTCAGCTTCACAAAGCTGATGGTTTTGTTGGTCAGGCACAGGCGGTAGATGCCGATCAAGTTCTTGGTCTGGCCCAGACCTTTAGGTTTCAGGATCACTTGCCAAACCTCCTTGAAAGCCGGACCAGGCACCACCTCGCCATAGCTATCGTCACCTGTCTCCCCCAGCCCTGCACTGCCACCCCCAAAGGAGACATCACTGTGGTGGTGGTGGTGACGATGATGATGGAGGTGGTGGTGGCCCTTGGCCCGATTGTGCAACTGCAGCAAGGCTTGGTACCAGCTCTCCTGCTCAGGCTCGCTGTCAGCTGCAATGGCAAAGTGCTCGTCCTTGGTATAGAGGGCCACCAGGTGCTTGTTCTTGGAGTCTGCCCGTTTGTTGATGTTGAAGCAGCTCTCCAGTGGGATGGAACGCTTGGGGGCTCCTGACTTATGTCTCCATTTCTTCTCATTCTCATAGTACTCCAGCCGGGCAGGTCCTGACTCGCTGGCTGCCCTCAGCACGAAGAAGCGTTTATGCATGCTCTTGGGTTTGCGCAAGTAACCCACCTTCCTGACATCTGAGAAGAAGCCCTCATTATTATCCGTGGGGCTAGCCATAGTGGAAGGAGAGGTGGTGGTGTTTTTACCGCAGCTATCAGCCCACAGGCCCCCAAAACTGCCAAGCAAGGCAGAAAAAAAACCCACCTCTGAAAATACTATTCATGCAACAACAATCATAATAAAAAAGCAAACTAGCTCGGAATCCCCTCTCCAAAACGGGATGGGGGGGAGGGGATACTGGCAGGGTGAGAGCAGCTGTTCAGTGGCAGAGGCAGCTTCCAGCACCACAGCAGCGTTTATATTGCTGTTTATGCCCAAATCACCCTCAGGAGGGTCAATATATCCTTAAAGAGTCCAGTCTCAGTCAGTCCAGATGAAAGTCTAGCTCTCCCAGCAGCCGCCGCCGGGGAGGAAAAGAAACGCATCTTTCAGTCGTATGGGTCGGATTCCTCTGTAGAGAGGAGCAGGAAGGGGGTCCCCCTTGCTTTGCTCCAAAACACCCTCCCCTTCACAACTTCGCCTCAGCGAGCGCAATCTCTGTAACAGATTAAAGATCCTCTGGGTAGCGGTTTGTTTTGCAAAGTCCGGGGCTTACACCCCAAAACACACGCCTCTTCTCCCCCCCTAAAAACACAGCCCAGCCCAAAAATCAGCGCCGAGGCTGCTTCTTCTGCTTATGCGTGAGGAGGCTGGCGACCCCATTCAGTCCCATCTCGTTAGGAAGAGAAAGTGCCATTTCAACACAAAATGCAACCAGGCAGCAGCAGGAGGGGAAGCAGCCCAAGTGGGGAAGGAACATCCTCTCTTCCTCCTCCTCCTCATTCCAGTCGGGAAAGGCGCCGAGGCCAACAGCAAAGCCCCCTCCCCTGCCCCAGGCTGAAGGCGGGTCTGGGGCTGCCTGGCTGACTTCTCCTCCTCCGGCTGCTTCTCGGAGTTTCGCAGCGCCCCAAACCCAAACAAGCGGCGGTGTCTGTGTTTATGAGTCCGGCCCCCTCCAGCCGCCACCGAGACTCAGTCTCACTCCAAGGAGAGAAACACGTGACGGCGCCAGTGCGTGGACCATCCCAGCAGCAGCCGAGGGAGGTTCCAACCTAGCCTGGTGCCGCGGCATTCCAATCCGCCCCCTCCTCCCCGCCCGCCGCTCCTTTCATTCAGTGCCGCTGCGGCTGCAATTACCTTCGGGCCCTGAGCAGCTCTGCGCCCTGGGGGGCCGCCTGCCTATTGGCAGCGCGGCCTGTCCCTCAACTCCTCCACGGGGGGAGGTGCCCAGGCTAGGTTGAGGAGTGGAGCGTAGTAAAAAGGCGTAGACGCCATTCACTGGCGTGTTATTTATAAACTAGGGGCTTGTGAGTGAATCTCTGCAGTGTGGCAACTTTGATCGAGGCGCTGCTGCTGCGTTGTAACCACGAGGCTCCCTCCTCCCCCCACCTTCACATTCAAGCTGCGTCTAAACTCCAGTGCTGCCTGATCTGCACTATAGACATAAGGGTGCTGAAAATCATCCCCCCCCCCCCCGCATCCATCCCAGCTCTCCACCATATTAGTGCAATTGAGGCTTCCCTTTCAAAGCGGGTAAAGATCGAAAGAAGTTAATGCAACCGCTGAATTCAAAACAGAAAAGTCCCCCTCTCCCCAACCCCCTCCCTTTCCCCAACCCCTTCCCACTCAAACAAATAAAATCCATCCGCAAACCGTTCACGAATGTCTGTGGCATTGGAGATTTCTGTAACATAATACAGAGTGACCCTCCTGTGCCGAAGTAAGATTGTTGTCCTCTGGGCGGCTCAGAACATTGAGCTGAGACTATCCCCGTGAGCAAAACATTAAAATAAATAATGCAACTTTATGTTGCATAATGTTTTCCATATAAATCGGATCCCAAAGTTCGGTACCGTTTTAAATAATATAAGCCCAAAGAAGACCAATAATAGAAAAGGGGTATGAGAAATCAAAAGAAGAGACACCGTTGGGGCTGGGAATTGAAAACAGGATACATAGTTTTGAGACCGATTTTGACTGCAACATTGACAATATAAGATTTTTGTGTGGTTTTCATTTTTGGGGATGTTTACAGTTCAAACTCAGCAGTGACTGATTTTATTATTTTTGTTTCCTATTAGCATGGAGCCACAAATCACAGATTTTATCTTTTGTCGACGCAGTTGGGCCCTGAATAAAGACTTTTATTGATGAGTGGAGATTTATCATTGCTGGAAATGCAAAGCTATGCTATCATTGTATTTTACAGAAGAATTGTGTAGTAGAGATTCCCTGTAGAATTTCTCCAATGTGGTGTCAAGCAGTTAAATATATTTCCCGAAATCATTATATGCTAAATTAAACTGAATATTCAACATGATTTGCCGTTTACAGTACTGAAATGTGCTGTATGCGTAACTTTTATTTCACTGTAAGGTGAAAGACGATACGAGAAGTGTTGCAATCCAATTCTAAAAAAATAAATTACTCAATGCTGCCATCTCCAGGACAGTTCATTAAAACATCTTTGAACATCTTTTCTCTTTTCCACTCCAAATATAGAGTGCATATTTATAGGTTCCAGATTGGTTTGGGTTTTTTTAATGGTCTCTATACATTTATTGGAACATGAATTAATCTACATATTCTATACAGTTTAACAGTTCTTTAATATGCGTGTTGTTGGCAATATATGTAATGAACAGACTGTTATTGATATGATACGTTTAGTTTGATAATTTATATGAGAAAATGCAATAACAACGTTCATAACTACTTTCAATATTGAATTACAATGCAGAATTTTAATTTTATTTGCATTTATGTGGGGCCAAACATGGAATAACTAATACAAAATCATTAGGTAATGTTCATCTATTGCAAGGAATATTATCAAATGATCATTAGTTGTAAAATAATTTTAAATATGAATAATCTAAACAAAAAATGAAATGTTCTCATTGAAATATTTGCAGCAAAATTTGGAGAGCTTAGAGATGACAAGACGCATCATTGCAGCCTTAATGTCTATTCCTCTTAGAGTTATTAATCTAGATAAAATGCCAGTTACATAACTATTATATTATTATTTGTATTGTGCAATACATAGGAACAGAGTCAAATTGTTAAGAAGTGGTCAGGAATGCACCTATATGGCTTTCTCTTTCCCATTGTCAGCGCCCTAAATACTCACCCTTTGCAAAATAGTTAAGCAAAGAAACAAGGAGTTATACCAAAAATAAATCAGCTTCATGTACACTGGATTTCAGCCCATTATGGACCAAATCTTACCTTATGGTGTGTATGGACAGGGTCGGGAGCTTCCTCACCCCCATCCCCAAACTTCATGGAGCTGCTGCTCGGCAGAATTTCAGCCTTAAATGTCTGTTGAGAACAGTGATTAGCTACCACGCCAGCCAGTCAATGAAGAATTCCAAGGGGTATGGCTTGTTGACCATAGGGCAAGGCCAGACCCCAAAGCCAGCTAGTGTACATCCTGCATACCACAGTCTGTGCTAGTGGGTGGTGCACACTGCTGCTTTTCAAATTGGTGCAGCTGTCTGTGACAGCATGACTTTTGTACCCCTTCTCCCTGCTCCCAGAGGCACATGCATCTGTGTAGACACGCAACGTAGATTTGGCTATTGTTGTTGAATGGATAAGTTTTGAAGATGTGTTATGTTTCTGGTAATAAATAACAATGTATTAAATTTACTGTATACAGTGCTTTTCCTTCCAAATGATCCCAATGTATTTCATAAATAATATTGGGAAATACAACACTGAAATACAGTCACTTTTAGGTGGACAGACATCTGGCATGCAGCATGCTGCGCAAGAATGATGGAGAGGAGATTTGGAACAAGAATAATGGGGTAAACTTTTACACTCTAAAAAAAGAGTCATGAGATCATTCATGTCCGCATTCAGCAGATAGGATTGTCCACTCATTTATCACCAACAACAAACTTACTTTGCAGATATCAAGATTTTGTATTCTATTTCTGATTTTCAAATTGAGTGTTTCCATAACTGTCCTCAAACATTTTTATACAGATTTGAGCCCTTCATTTGATACATTATAAAAGGGAACATCTTATACCTTTATCAGGCTTTCAAAGCTACAACTTTAGTGGACAGTTTACATCCCAGCAGACACCATCTTGGAGGAGTTTCCTAGCTGTTTTAACTTGGGACTGTAGCATATTAAACTCTGAAATATTCAATTTTTTTTATAATCTAACAATATTCAGGTTTGCAGGACAGCACACCAAACAAGCAGGATGTGTCTCTGCCTGTATCCTTTCTATCCTCTTTCTCTGGGGCTAGGTCTGTTTTAGCACACATGGATGATACACAATTCCATTTTGGTGGTTGTGGCAGGATCCTTAAACCAACACAATTATATTTCTCAAACACCTTCACCCTGCACAGAGGTTACACATATTTAAATATGCTAGAACTAACTATTGTTATAGAGACAATAAATTTATTCATTATGGAGAAATGAAGGAAATATAATAATGTACCAGATTCTGGCCCATGCTAAAGTTTCATTGTATCATTCTGTGAGCACAAAGGGTCTACAAAGCTGTCCTAAATAGGTAGCTGAGGATTAATGTGGCATGGGGTGATCTATGCCATCAACTCCTACCATATCCCCACCAAACCCAATATAGTGGGTATGCTGAGGAGAGGGTCATGGGCCAGAGGAACCTAGTGTGTTGGTGGTCCTGGGCTAAAAGAACAACCTATAAGAGGGCCATTGCAAGCCAGCAGAATTTAAAGAAGCTGTAGTGTAAATTACTGTGGGGACTAGTGTGGCCTAAAGCCACCTTTGTACACACACACACACACACACACCACCACCACCACCACCAAGCAGAGCTCTGACATACATGACTTTCTAGCCTAATATGTTTAATTTTTCCATTTGAAATATTGACAGGTCAGTCAACAATTCAAAGTCTACATATACCCCCAGTGCAGTGAGAGCCCATTACATATTTATCTTTATTTATTTATATTTATTCAGGTGAATTTCAGTCCCTATGTTCCCCGGCTTTCACAAGTTTCTTTTGCTCTCTCTTTTCTCAACTCCCTTTCACTCCCTTGACATTTCTTCTTAAGACTTTGCTCTCTTTTCTATTGACCTTTCCTAAGTGACTGTTCCCTGTTCTCTCCTTGTAAAAAGGGATCCTGCTCCTGTCAATTTTTTTTTCAGACTTCTAGGGCTGATTCAGACTCACTTACAGGGGCATAAATCAGGAGTAACTTCACTGAAATTAACAGAGTTACACAGTTGTAAACTAGTGTGAGATAAGAATCAGGTCTTCCCTCATCAGCTATCCCAATTCTAAATATAGCAGGATCTTCTGGTCCCAACTGCTATTCACAATTGCAAAGAGACCTTCGGATCCCAACTGTCATGGTAGCTTCTAATTTCACCGGCCTTTCACGTTTGGCAGGGCTAAGCACTGACCATTTTTGATCTGATTGCTGCATCTTCCTCTTTTGCAACTTGTAAGTATTCTTAGTTCCTTTATATTTTCCCCCTAATTTTCCCTTTCCTATTCCTGAGAATTGCAGAGGCTCACACTTCTACAGTATTTGTAAAACAATTTGACCATAAAACCACTACCTGCTAAATATTATTTGATGGCATATGTACCCATTATTATAGTCCTTGTTTCAAAGTTGATTTGATTACATCTTTTATTTGTTCTAAGTTGACTGATAGTATTTACTTTTCCGTGTCCTACAGCATAGATTATACTTGCCTAGCTCCTTCTCCAAGATCAGAATGGTTGCATTCTTGAAGTAGCTTTATTCTACATGATAAATTAGTAATTACTTCTTTAAGCAAACAGGTTGTTTTTCTTATCAGAGGAATGCTACAAATGCAATGTTTATAGCACAAATACAAAACACAGAGAAAAATTATGCTGGATCCTGCATTCCTTGTACACCCACAACTTCCACTGACATCTCTGAGGCAGAAACATATTGTATAGGAGGAACATGTAGAATGAGTAATGAGACTCTTCAGATCTATTACATCCAAAACAGTAAGCTTTAATGCTTTATCCAGTTGTTAGCAGTTATAGTTCACAGAATCATAGAAATTAGAATTGCAAGAGTCCTAGTAAATTATCTTGTCCATGC